ATAAAACATGAAAAATTAAAAAAAAAAATTGGCTTAGGCAATAAAAAATACCAGTAAAGTAAACTTTTTTAAATAAAAAATTTTCAAGTAGAAAATCAAGCATGGTTGGTAATTAAGCACACGGGCGGATCTACGGGGGGGGGGGGGCTTTCGGGCTGAAGCCCCCCAAAATGGTAAAATATATCCATGTTTTATCGAAAAAAATATTAAAAAAGTATCTCTTAAAATATTATTGTTCGTGTAATTACATTTAAAAGGGCTTTAGGAATCACTTAAACACAATTTCATACAGGTAGTTAGTTTCTTTCTTTTTTTCCAAAGTAATTATCGTCATTTTTATGAAAAAAACAACTTTCGGGCTGAAGCCCCCCCCCCCAAAATTAAATCCTGGATCCGCTAGTGATTAAGCAGCCAACAATAACGCTGAAATAAAACATCTGGAGAATATATTTATTTTTCTGAAACACTGATTACTTTTTAAAATATTTGAAGCAGTTCCGTAGAAAATGCACTTAAGCGACAGAAAAGCGGGACTGGCGTAGGTGCCTTCAGGTCTCTACCACACCATTCAGTGCTCTTAAATGGCTTAGTTATAGTGCTGTAATAACGTTTTTGGTACATTATATTGATTTCATTAACGAACAAAAATTAATGCAATAATTTAATTGTAAAAAAAAATTAATATTTTATTTAATTTTTTTAAAAATTTAACTTCCTTTATTCTATTCAAAGAAGGCCTCTATTGTAGAAATGATATAATTATAATAATAAAACTTAATTCAAAAATACTTTGCTGAATATCTTGAAATTTTACTTTCACTTACCTATACATAAAATATATAGCAAGGGTATTGCGGTCGTGGAAATTTTCGAATCTGAGTTTTCAACGGAAATAAATGTTTTGAGGTCTCCTGAGTCCAAATAACGAAGTCCCAAGTATGCGTATGTGCGATAGCAATCTAGCTCAAAAACGAAAAGTTGTAAGAAAGTGAAATTGCATATAGGTTTGCTTTAGATGTTACAGCAACTTTTCCCTTAATATCGGCTTACCGGAAGTGCTACTTCATATCAACGGTGAAATACATTTTTACAATTTTCTCAAGATTTTGATTATACTCGGTGTATCATTGTATAATTAAGTGGTCTTTAATAGCATTGATTATCTTTAATATCATAGGTCTTATCCTCATTGATGTCACTTTGCAGGGCTTAAATGCCCAATGTTCACGTATGCCTTCCTCTAAAGTTCCTTAATACTGTTTATTTAAAAAAAAATAAAAAAGTATTTTATTGGCTATAACTATACAAAATGGCTATATATGAAGTTTGAAAGAATATAATTGGAAACATGAGAAAAAAAGAAAAATGCTTATTCAGGTTGAAAATGAATCTCCGGAAATAACCGTCAGAATGTATACGTATAATGTATCGTTAGAAAAAATAATATCAAATAAATAAAGTTGTAGAAGGCAACAGAGAATGACGAAAAAAAATTTAAATGATAATTTCAGAACTCATTATTTAATTAGTGTGAATAAACTCTGTACAAAAAAGTCAGATTTATCTCATCTTTTTTGTTTCATCTATTACTACTAAACAGGGCATCGAAGCGAAAAACGTATTCTTTAAGAAATTAAAGAACGTTATTGTGCGTCGAACAAGTACCTAAACTTAATAATTTGATTACGTAATATGGCCGATAACCACGGTCAACATACGCTAATTTTTACCAAATTTGTCAACAACTGAGACAGATTAAAATAAATGGCCCTGGAGCTTGGAAATTAGTCCTCTTAGAGAAAAAAACTCAGAATTAATTCCAATTTCGATCCCGTTCATATTCAGATTCCGATCATATCGGAGACCAAATAATTATTATCTTCCGTCATGAAAACTTCCCATTAGCAGCTATTTTAAGAAAAGAAAAGAAAAACTTCTGATTATATCTATATTTATGATATATCTATATTTCTGATGAGGTATATAAAATTATTATTGTGACCAGTTTATGAACTACATGGATTCGTTAAGGAGAATATAGTTGCTGGATGTTGCAATGCGTCCAGATCTATTGGAACTGAATTAAAACTGGTTCCGGGAGGAAAAAACGTATTTTCGTGTGCTCGAATAAAAGATTGTCCGTAGGAATAAATAAGTTTTTTTTTTATAAATTAATTTTCCTCCATCAAGATTTTCACCTGCTAGAATCAGTTCGGAGTAGGCAGGAACAAACAATGACAGGAGTACAAGCATTCGCAGCTCACGGCGCACAGTATGACGAATAAGGGAAACTCACAACATCGGCTAAACCAATTATATATATATATTTTAACATTAAAAACTAGATAAACTGTTTTGTTGACATCTTCTAGAATTCATGTGAAGAGTTATATTTGACAGAATACACATTTTCACGTGTTTTATAGAATAGCTCAATTAAAAAAAGAAATAGCTTTAAATAGCTTCTTTTTGGATCTTCTTCATAATTTTCGACCAGCGTTATTTCTACTATTGATTCTCTACCATCCAAGGGAGAGAGGGGCGCGCCCTCCGGTTGGATCCACTTGTGGTTAAGAAGGTATACGTATAATATATTGTTGTAAAGTGGAGACTTTTAGAAAAAAAAAAAAATATTTAATATAGAAAGTCGTGTAAAGTAATGGAGCGTGACGAAAAATTATAAATTGTGAAAACTAATATTATTTAACTGAAATCGCATGTTTTCAAGGAATTAACTGAAATTTTCTTACAATATGTAAATGTCAAGGCATTGGCATTGTTTAAAAAACTATTTCATAGTACTTATGTGAAAGAAGAAGTGAAATATAAAAATATTTCATGGATGTATAAAGCATATGTTTGTAACTTTAAATACATCTACTGCAGTCACGGACAGATCAACGGGGAGAGGGGAGAGGGAGACCTTTCGGGCTGAAGGCCTCTCCCAAAATGATAAAATATAACCATATTTTATGAGAATTTTTTTGTTTTTAAAAGTATTATTGTTGATAGAAATAGATAGAAAAATGACTTTATTCTGGGACACAGTCCCTTGAGAATAACCAAATAGAACAAAATTAAAAGATTACATCTGGCCAAAATAAAATCATTGTTCGTCTAATTACAGTTAATAAGACTTCAAAAATCACTTAAATACCATTTCATAGGTAGTTAGTTTCTTTCTTTATTCTGAAGTCATTATCCTAATATATTTATACAAAAAAAAAAAAAAATCTTTCAGGCTGAACCTTCCCCTCCACCATAAAATTAATTCCTGGATCCGTTAGCGACTGCATTTTAATGATTCTAGATCTGATATTATATTTAAATAATTAGGTATCAACCTTCGTTTATTCCGAAAAAGCGTCAGTCACTAAATTCCCTGCAAAACAAAAAAAGAATTATCGAAAACGGACCATTATTAGTATAGGTACATCCAGGAGGTGCGGATACGAAAGGCGAACTCCACACTTGATCAAAAAAATTTTTTTAGTCCTACTGTAGTGACAGTTAACAGAAACTAAAGGATAAAATTTATCGTAATTTAATCATCATATCATTCAATGAGTGACGGTTAATTGAAATTTAACTGTACTACGACTCGTTGAGTTCGCCCCATGTGTAGAAACTTTAACTGGGGTTTTCTCAATATTCAAGGTTCTTGAGTTCGCCCTTCGTATCCGCAATACCTCATATTAGTCCGTGGTACAGACCCCTTTTTATCAAATTATTAACATCAGGCTGAAAATTCGTAAATATCTTCATCTCATCGTTACCTACAAATATTTTATTTACGAAAATTCTGGGAATTGGGGCGTTTTCAATCTGGAAGTCGGCAAACTTTGTTTGTTTATTATAGATCTTAAAAACTTGTCAATACCCATTTGTTTTATAAATTAATTTGATCATAAAATCATTAAAAAAGGTGGCCTACAACAATTTTGGGCTGCTTGGCCTGTATAACCTCGTTATTTTAACAATGTGGGGGTGTCGTGACCGACACCCAACCGGCTCAATATTTTTGAAGGCCACCTTTCATCCCAACTTTGTGTGGAAGTTATCTTAGTATTCAAGTGTAAAGCAAATGGATATTTACGAGTTTTTAGTCCCTGATTAAATGAACAAAGTTTGCCGACCTCCAGATTGAAAACGCCCCAATCTCTAGAATTTTCGTAAATAAAATATTTGTAGGTTATATGAATATATGAAGTTTCAGCCGAATGTTAATAACTTACCAAAAAGGGTTCTGTACCAGGGAGTATATGTTTTGGTTTATTATTATGAATGTGACTGAGAAAAGGCAAATTATTTCTCTGTCTCATAATACATTGCATTAACTTTTCTGTATTATATCCTATATTCTGTAAATGTTATATTGTCAATTGTTTATTAACCAGTATACAACACTAGCGGATCAAGCCGGAAAGCACGGGGGGCACGTGACCTACACCCCCAAATTTTCAAAATAACGAGGTTATATAGGACAAACGGTCCAATATTTTGTAGGCCACTTTTTTTATCGATTTCGTTATCAAATTATCTTACGATCCGAGTAGAAATCAAACGGGTATTTACGAGTTTTTAGTACCTAATTAAATAGACAAAGTTTTCCCCTCTCCAGATTGAAAACGCCCAAATTCCAAGAGTTTTCGTAAATAAAATAGTTACGATAGATGAAACTATTTACGTAGTTTCAGGCGGATGTTAATAATTCGATAAAAAGGGGTCTGTACCACAGTTTATTGTTTTAATCATAAAAATCATTTTGAGAGGTCTCATTTCCGGATTGAAATATGATTTGTGCCGAAAATTCAATTTAAAATTCCATTTGCTCATAATTATTTTAAAAAATAAAATACTGATAAATGAATTTATACCATTTATACTAACTTCAAATAGTTTTCTATTCAATGAATTAAAGATATTTATAATTGATAAAAATAAGTGTTGCAATAGTTGTTTTGGCTACACTGATTACCAGCTGTATGTGATGAGGTAAACTTTAAACTTGTAACATCTGGTTAAACTTAGTAAACAAGCCGATACAAACAGTCTAACTGCCTTCGCACATTTTATTTTGGTATTGTTGGATTGTTAATTTAAGGTTTATTGCCATTTTATTGTGTTTTTAATTAATGTATTAGTGTCATTGCTATCGTTCTCATAAATGAAGGTCTCTTTTAAAATGTTGTTGCAATTTATGAGAGGTCATGTACTGTTTTATTGTTTGAGTAGCCTTCATTTATAAAGATTTAGTGGTTAATGTAGAGTTATCAATTTCGTAAGTTTAGATTGGCATTTTGAGTAATGTCATGTTGTTTTATTGTAGATTTAATTTCATGAACATCAGCGAACATTATGTCCAGTACAAGTGCTCCTGTTGAAGATGATGAACTTACTCTACCTCGAGCTTCTATTAACAAAATGATTAAAGAGTTGATTCCTACTGTTAGAGTTGCTAATGAGTCAAGGGAGTTGATTTTAAATTGCTGTACAGAATTCATTCATTTGATAGCCTCAGAAGCCAATGAAATTTGTAATTTAAGTAGAAAAAAAACTATAAATGCTGAACATGTTCTTAAAGGTAGGTAGTTTACTTATGGTAGTGACTTATCTGCTTTTATTTTCACTTAAATACAGGTTATATTATTCCAAATAGGTTTGACGACTTCTTTCAAAGTGATGTAAGTGTTCCATATTTTGAATGTATGATTAGTTTGGCCATAATAAGCCTAATATTACTTGTTTATTCAGAAAAGTATTGTTATTTGGATAGAAACTGTTTAATCGTTTTGAATAACATTTCATCATGGTTTTTTTACTTTACATTCAAGTTCAGGCAACTGTTGGTATTCCTTCTTTAATTTGTTTATATGATGAAAGATTGATTTTATTGTTTACATTTGATAATAATTTAACTTAGATAGTTGTTATTACTATATATCAGCTGCTATAGATTCTCATTAAACAAAGGTTTTAATCATAAAATATAATTTGTCTCCCATTTGAGAATTTGGCTGTTTAAAATTTGACAATTGACCAAATGAGTGAGGAGAATTCGTCCATACGTCTATATAGTGGGTCTATGCAGGGAGAGAGAGAGCAATATCGATCAGGTTCTCCATCATTTAAATTGTTTAAGAATTCAAAAGAGATATCTTGAGCCATCGTCTTGGTACAACTGATTTTATAATGTGTTGTTTCATAAGGAGACTCTTTTAAGAATTTATATGGACATTCATCTTTATTAAATAATTGCCTATAGTATTAATATAATTAATTTAATGGTATACCTATCAAATATGAGTGAACTGTTTTGATACTGTTAAGAAAAACATCTAACGTGGTGTTAACGTAAGAAAGAGCAAATAAGGAAGCTGGATAGAATTGCCAGTAAGGATCATACTGGAAAGATTTATATAAAAAAAAAAATCAAAGAATGTTGCAAAGAAAAATTCAAAGAATGTTGCAAAGCAAAATTTCATTTAAAGTTTGATAGATCTGAACAGGAGTATTTAACATATTTTTTTTTAGTTGAGATTAGGTGGATCTCAGGATCAGTTTTTGACTGGTTTTATGAAAAATTCTCCTTAAAGAGAATATTTAGAAATATATGCAGAATTAGTATATATAGAGAATATATACTCAAATCCAAAACTAAATAGCTCTAAAATTTGGAAATATTACTTAATGGTTAAGAACAAAAAGTAAAGTGTTATCTCAGTAATATCAACTTCGGTGGTCTGAACACTAATAATCCGAAATATCAAAACTAAAATAATTGAATGAAGAATGTTGTATGGAAAGTTTTGTATAAAATTTTCTAACAAAAATTCCAACATGCCCTGTCAAATTTCAAATAAATTACTCATTTGTAGGCACATACACATACTCTTTCGGGATTATCTTTGAGAATCCCTCATCTTCTTGCTCAGAAGAAGGTTTAAGGAAGCTCCTCCAAAAGCCAAAATATCACTGTGGTTGTTCTGTGCTAGGGAATTGTTAACATTATTACAGCTTTAAGTCACTCTCCATCTAAACTTTTGGGTGAGGTAGAAGGGTATGGACATTTGGTTTTTGTCCGAAATAGATAATTTGATTTTCTTGGAGTATTACAGGTTATACAATTTGATGAAATATAATTAATCATTTACCTTTAAGAAAAAAAACTGATGAATAATTTTATTGATCATATATAAACTTAAGAATTCACAAATTAATTGATCCGAAAAATCTATATTTAAAAAAGTGAATTAATTGCATTTTTTTTTTTTTTTAATAGCTTTAGATAGGCTTGGTTTTGGTGACTATCGATCCGAAGCCGAAGCTGTTTTACAAGACTGTAAAGAAGTTGCTGCTAAAAGGAGAAGACAAAGTATGAGGCTTGAAAATCTTGGAATTCCTGAAGAAGAACTGCTCCGGCAACAGCAAGCTCTCTTTGCTAAAGTAATCTACTTTGCTTTGGTTGTAGTTTTACTTTCACGTACCTATATATGTAATACATAGTAATTGTAAGTATTGCGATCGTGAACAATTTTGAGTCTGAGTTTTCAACGAAATTACAAGTTTTGACGTCTTCTGACCTCAAATAACTAAGTCCCACAAAATGGTCTGTCCGCGTGTGTGTTTATATGTGTGTGAACAGCCTAGTTCTAAACGAAAAATCATACAAAACAGAAATTGCCTATTTAAAGTTTGTATATGCCTGGAATGTTACAGCAACTTTTTTATCAAAATCGGCAAACCGGAAGTGGTACTTTATATCATCGATTTAACACATTTTTACAATTTTCTCTAAAACAGCTCTAAGGATTTTGATTAAACTTACTATGTCAGTGTGTTATTAAGTGGTTTTTAATTTAAAGTAGGTTTTATCCTCAATGATGCAACCCGATAGGGCTTAAATGCCAATTTTTCCAATTTTCTTCCCTTAAACTACCTTCAATTTATTTTATTTGAAATAATTAACTATTTCACATTTGAATCTGCTATAAAAAATAGATATAGTGAATAAAGAAAATTGATTGATAACTAAAGAAGAAATGACGGTAGGAAACTATGGGTATAAGCTATGTAGAAAGCTCGGCTATTTCACCGAGAGCGCCTAACCTTTACAGATACCCGACACAGCTCTGTACAGGGCTTTCATATTGTCAGTTTAACTTTTATGTATTACTTATCCATCATTTTTTAATAAGGTTTTCACGCGAAATGTTGAAGATTTACTGATATAAACCTATTAATATGCAATATTTACTACCGTTAATTTATTTTTTCGATGAGTTTCTTGATAAATGTATGTGATAAAACTGAGAATTTTTACAAAATATCCAGTTCCTCCAAAATAACTAGTATTGTTTGATACTATATACAGTCTTAAAAGGAAATGGAATGTGATGCAAATGTATAAATTTAACTAATTCGAAGGATGGGAGGAACATGGTAATTAATTGTTTTAAATGAAGTTATACCGTCGTCTTCACTTCAACTTCATATAAGAAAATACTTATATACTCTAAGGTTTGTAAGTGAAAGTTGTGTGTTGCGCTCACTGCTCCAGAGTTTTACTGAACATTTTCAACTTTCTAATGTTAAGAATATTCTATATTCCACCAAGAGAAATAGAAGTTATATGTTATAATTTTATATATTTTGATGGTAACCAATTACATAATTACCAACTATTTAGCAATTCTAAACTGGGATTCCAACCTACCATTGAAGATTTTTCGATGTATTGCTAGTAATTTAGTGCTTTGGGTTAGAGTTGCAGAATGCACTATTCGGAAAGGTATTACCAGTGTTATATATTCACTCTCAGTGAAGCAGGCATGGATTCCACACAAATATAAAAATGATGTGTGGGCGGGGTAGCCGAATGAACTAAAGCGTATGCACTGCACCGCCGTTGCCCGGCAACCTGACATATGAATCAAAGACATAAAAGTAGTCACGAGTTCGCGTCCCGGTGCTGGAGGAGTCTTTTAAATCCCCGCTCACACTCCCTGGCCCGGGAAAATCCCGTATAGCCTTAACAGCGAGGAAGGGAAGGACCCAAAAATATATATATATATATAAATATGATAATAATAATTAAATAAAATATATTTTTAAACTTTATTTTAATTATGGGTGACATTATTTTTATTGGAAACAATGAAAACCAAAATTAAAAAAAAAAAAATATTGCAAACTTCTCTGGCAGTACATTTCACATATAACAAACGGATAGAGGGGTTGTAATACAAGAATTAAATAAAAGCTCATAAAAATACTAATCTTAGCATCTATTTGTGTACATGTATTTTTAATAGAAAAAAAAGTTTTGTTTTCAATCAAAGAGAAAAAGAAATTTTATATGCTTAAATTCCAATTAACAAAGAAAATTTTATCCTAGAATTACAACCAAGAAAATATACAAAATAAAATTTATATATACTAGAATGACAAAAAAATAAACTTCCTAAAAGTTTCGAGACTTGGGTGTCAATTACTAGATCCAGTTTGGCTGATAGCTTATAGGAGTCTCTGTTTTTTCAATTGCCTGACGACCTACCGCTTGATAACCTACGGGGTGCATTCCCCATCTTCCTGGTTTAACAGTGTTTCTCAGTTCAGTTTTAACCAATGCCAGAATAAAAGTTATAATCGTGACATTTATCAAAAACTGTCCTCATTAAAAAATATTAAAATTGTGACGTTAAATGAAGTGAAGGAATTTTAATGGAAAATAGTAATGAGGATAGGTTACCACCAATCAACAGTAGTCATAGTTTTGAAAAAAAAAAAAAAAAAAAAAGAAAGGAACTGGGAGGAGAAATAAAATGACTGCTTAGTGGTGCGATTGTTTTTAGAATATCATTTCATAACTGGCAAAGAAATATCCAGAGATCTTGCAGATAGCAATCTGGTAATTTAATAAAATGTTTACTGGATGACGCAATTTCTTTGACTACGACTGTGATGACTTTTTAAACATTGACAATGTCATTTTGAAATATGTTAATAAAAACATTTTTTATTGGGTGGGGCAATTTCTATATATCTATATATACAAATACACATGTATATTTATATTTAAATTGTGTAGAATTATAAGAGTACCAAATGATGGTTCTAATATAAAAGACCTTTACATGTATTCAGAAATTTCTGTATAAATTGTTACTAGAATAACTTATATTGTCTATTATCTAAATTCAACTTTATATTATTTATTGGGTAAGGTATTGTATGAATTTTTACAGTAAGTTTATAATTGGTCTAATATTGTTTGTTGGTTCAAGGCTAGAGAAGAACAAGCTCAGGCTGACCAACAGCAGTGGCTTCAATTACAAGAAGCAGCAAAGATGGCTTCCATGCAAAAATCAGCTGAGGAAAGTGACCCTGACGATTACTCATAATTAACATTTAACCTTTTTAATATTAAATGTCATTTTGAAATACATTAAAATGAGCTGAATCACATTCAGTTAAAAATCAATTTATCTTAAAATCACTTGTTAATTTAAGTTATTAATATAACTTAATATTAATTTATCTAATGTAATATTTTATTTATAAGCTTTCTTACATGACTTATTTCTTTTGAAATCAGATTTGTGATATTATTTCTATTGATGTTTTATAGATTGTATATATATGGAATTGTCTGGAAGAAATCATATTGTCAATTTTATGTAGTAATCTTCTAACTAATCATAAATTGCCTTTTAAACTTCATAATCTAACTTCTTCGGACTCTAAAATTTTCTTGAACATAAAAAGTTTACTTATATTTTAATTCTATGTTATATTTTTTTTTTTTTTTAAATAGACCATGTGTTTAGTTTATAACCTACCTATCTTGTTAAATTAACCAGCAAATTATCTTGTCTTTTAAGCCTTTTTTTTACAATTTGGTTTTGCCTTTTTTTATTATTCTGGCATTTAGATGATCACATTTTTGTCTCTATCGCTTAGCCACATTCTCTACTATGCCAATAATGCATCCAATGTAAATAGTTTATTACAAGAAGATTCAACGAAAGCTTAATCTTTCTTTATTTTCCAGACAAATCTTCACATATATTCTATCGAGATGTGCTCATATGTTTGTATTTATTTTTATATATCGGATCACTTTTTTTTTTCTTTTAACTTTAGTATCGATTGTGTGTAATTATGTAATGCATTTGTGTATATATTTGTTTAAACATCTTACTTTGTAAAGTATATTTGTATATTTAACTGCTTATAATTTATGATTGTATGTAATTTGTTGTAAATTTAATGTGTTTTTTTTTCTTGATTGTAGTTTCAGATTAAATTCTCAATTGTTTTTACTAAAACTAGTAAAAAATAATATTCAGCCATTTAAATAAATTTGAAGTTTTAATGTTATTAATATGAAGCAAATTAATTTATTTCCAAAATGGATGTGTATAGTAAAGTTTCCATGATTGTCCACATGCAGTAATGTATTAAATGGTAACAATAAAATCTATTTTATTTCTTTCACAATTTTTAAAAATTCGTTTTTTTAATATCAGACTTATTTAATCCATATAAGTTGTATTTTTTTCTTCTTAAATAATAGTGTTAAAATGTATTGGCTGTAAGATGCTCGCAACATTGTCATATATGAATGAACCTGATGTACTTGAAGTAATTTAGTTTGAGATGTGTAAAATAATAACTGTTTGTTATTCTTCAAAATAAATGGATTGCTCAGTTTGTATTTTTTGTTTTATAATTGATAAAATAAAAGTAATTAAGAATATTTCTGCTTGTATTGGATGAATTATGTTACTTATAGACCTTATGTTAATGGAATAGAAAAAACAATTAAATAATTATTTAATTGTTGGTAAACTTGAATAAGTAAACAATATTAGTATGCATGCAACCTCCTTTTGTTACTTTAATATCAAATAAGTGCGTGCAATTGAAATATCTCTGAATGAATTATTTTAAAGAACAATTATATAAATTCAGCAAGTAAAATGAGAGGATGTTTATGGATTTATAAATCAATATTTTTTATTCCAGATTCTTTCCACAATAATAAAGAAAATATTAAAACTCACAAATGAAAAAAAATTTATTACAATTTGTACATAATTATAATTATACATCGATAAGGTCCAAGATCTTAATACACATTCATGGTACAAAAACTATAATAAGATATTCTACATAGTAGTCAACAAACACCTAAAAATGAAACACATACTTGGGCCTCATAATAAAAAACAAACAAAAAAGAAAATTAAAATGTTTAATAGCTAAGCTTGTGGTTATCTACTCTTTTAGAGATCACTTAATTTTTTTCTTTATTCATTAAATTGTGGACGGGGGTTGGGAGTAGGGTAGAATAATAAGGTATTATAACTACACAGGCATTTGAACATAAATTGTAAGAAAAAAAAAGTTATTATTTTTTCATTTTTCGCTTCTTCTTAGATTTAGATTGTGATGCATCCTCTGGGCTGCTAATTGTTTTATCAGGATTTACTTCTTGAATGATGCTAGAATTTTCAATATTAATCTCATCGCAGGAGTTGTTGAGATTGTGAAGCGAAACTTCTCCATTTAATTGATTTGACACTTTTTCATGGGGAATATCCTCTCTTAATATATTAATATTATCGCCACTATCATCAGTAACAGTTTTTATTACTTCATCTGTTAAATGTTTTTCTGATAGTGGTTCCTTTGGTGCACCATTTTCTGTAATATGTAATGAAATAGGAACATTATTTCCAACAGTTATATCTGAGTCTAATGTTTTAATAGGCAAAGTTAATGAAGAGTTATTATTTTCAGGATTTTCAATTGCAAATTCATCCTTAGTACATTCTGGTAAAGAACTATCACAAGAAATTAACTTCGGTAAGTCATTTTGTGTATCACCATTTTCTACATCAATGCCATTAATAGGTTTTTCTTCAATAGATTTTGAGGAAGAATCTTCTTCTATGCTACCTTCAGATAATCTGTTTTCTTTTTCCTCAACACAGTTAGCCTCATGGGAGATAGTCGAAGTTTCTTCAATGACAGTAGTGTTATTAGATTCCATTTCACGGCTAATATTTTCAGAAGTGCCAACTTCATTATTTGCTTCATGTTCTTCCTCATCAAAACCAGAGCATGAAGAAGCTGGTGCTTCTGATGAGTTTGCAGAGCTTGTACTATTAGTTAACAGTTCATTATCATTTTTTATACATGGATCTTCATTTGATATTTTACATAAATCTGTACTCGGGACTGGAGATTTTGGACTGTCAGTAGTGGCTTCTTTAATTTGTGCTTCCAATTTTTGGTAATCCTCCTCACTTAAAGGTTCTCCTTTTTTCTCACCTACATAAAAAAAATAATTAGAAAAACAAAAAAGTACTAGACACATAATAATGATATCAAATATAAACAAGGATCTATATAAGAACTTATTGTAATAGTCCAATATTGCCAAGAAATAATTTCTACTTAAAGCTGAGTAGTAATTGGAAGTTCTGTGATGTGCACTCATGATTTTTTATCGTATTTATTTGTTAAACATATACAGTAGATACACATAGAGAACCATATGTAAGTAAGCAACTTAAGGGAGACCCCCTTTTTTTTTGTGTGAATGGAATCTTTGGTTATCGAAATAACAATCAACTTACAAATTAGTGCAAACAGTTAAAATAATGTATAAAAAACAAAGTGGTTTAAAAACTGAAGACTGATGAGGAAGCCATCTGGTGAAACAATGTAGTAAAATCATCCTCTAGTCTGAACCGGTTTTCACTTATGGTTACTAGACAAGGAAATAAACTAGGGCTGTGGAACAAAAACTCTCAAGGTACCAAGAAGAATTTACAGAATAGTACTTATAAATGGGGGATGCGATGCTGAAAAATCATGACGTCTAAAGTATGTTTAATGAGTCCAATGTTATGAAGTTTATAACAGTGGATCAACTCAGATGGGCAGGTCATGTGGCCAGGATGACAAAAGTAGCTTCTGACAAGAGATTCTGCAAGGAGGGCGAGGTGCCAAAAGAGCTAAACTACAACAGAGGGGCTTTGCAGACAACGATACCAAGAGACTTGGAATGAGAAATTAGATAATAGCAATGCAAAAGAAGGATGCCAGGCAATTACTGTTAGCGGACCCTATGACCTGTTAGCTGCTTGTGATTAGATAAATATTTGAATAAGTTTGAGCGTAATCTCCTACATTAAGCTCTACCCACAAGGAAATCCCTTAAGTTGTTTGTTTATACATATGTTTTTATTTTTGTTTCAATTTCATTAAATTATGAATTGATAGAAAGTAAACTTTATTCTGGGACGAGGTCCCTTATGAATAACAGATATGAACAAAAAAAAATAAAAACTACATCTGGCCAAAAATTACATTAGTCAATATTAAAGAATATATACAGTATCTTCAGTAAAATTATATTAAAACAAGTAAAAATGACACTATTTCGAAAAAAAAAAACTAAATAAAAAAACATTATTTAAATGAAAAAAAAATAAATAAATAAGCATGGGTTGATTTTTAAAATTAAAACTCAATCAATTTTAACAACCATTCACCTCAGTCAAAATCTGTTTCACAATATTTATTTCATTGTATAACGTCATTTTGGGATGTGAGAAGGAATTGGTAAAGATGATATTTAAATGAGGACAAGGAATAGGCATGGCGGATATTAGATGGCAAGGAATTCCAGAAAGCAGTGGATAAATAAAGGAATATTCAAATGTTTTAGTTCTATGGGAAGGGATATAAAGGTCGGAAACACGGGATCTTGTTTTCTGATGAATTTTATATTTCATGATCATTTTAATACTTTATTCCTAAACATACATTCCGTATCCAAGAAAATATAAATGTATAAACTGTGAAATCATGTGTTTTCAAGTTTAGAGGAACTTTAGTAAATCGGACAAAATAAACTTGGTTTTGCCTTTAAATAAAATATTGTTTTACTAGAATTTTATTTGATCTTTTTTAAAAGGTTTAATTTTATAAATTATTTGTTCATTTTATAGCAGTATAGTTAAAATGAAATGTATACAAAAGTGTACCTCTCAGCTGGCGACATTGGTCTTGCAAACCCCGACAAAGTCCTTGCAATGCAGTCAGCCTCCTTAGTGACAAACCCAGTGCTTCGTCGGATCTAATTTTTCCTTCTGTCACTTCTGCTAATGTCCTCTGGGCTGCATCATATCTAGATTTCCATGTTGCTGTTTCTTTTTCCAAACGACGTATATGCTTTGTCATCTAAGGAAAATTTCCAATTAATACTTAAAAAATTTAACATAAAACACTTATTCTATGAAAAACAGAATATCTTTCATATAAGTTGGTTTAGTTTATTAAGGTAAAATCTAAATAGAACTAATTAAACAGACTTCAGTGATATAGATTTAAGAAGTTCTCAAGTACTAGTACGTTGACAAGAAAGCAAATTAAGTTCAAGAAAAACAATTGTATTTCATAAAGTAAACTTTCCTTGAAAGGAAAAAAAAAGTGTCTTAGGATCATTACAGTATTGTTGGACATTTAAGTTACCCAAATGATACATATTTTATATTTTACTATTGTCATAAAATAGTAAATTGAATCCAGCAATAGTTTTATTGTTAACCTCGCCTATATTACTATTGTCATTGATACTTCATCAATTTTTCAATGAAAAGAAGCTATTAATTCTCATTAGAAAAATTACTATAAAAACCATATTGAATGAATTATTAATTTAATATACATTAGTAATTAATACAATTAATAAAACAACAATTAAAATAGTAACATAAATACAAATAAAATTATAACATTTCAATAATAGTTAATCACTTAAACATTTGTCTAATGAAAATAAAAAAAAAAAATGGGACAGTAAAAATTACCCTTTCCATTTCAGCCTTAAAGTCACCAATTGCAGAATTCGATTGTAACAATGCTTTGTGGAATTCTTCATACTTTTCGGAATACATTGTGATCTGTTCTCTTAGGGCAAGCTCAGAAGCTTTCATTTCACACACTTTCCTTTTGTATTCAGCCAATTCCTATAACAAGAAATATATATATTAGCATTCGAAACAAAATTAAAACAGCCTTTTAGTGGAATAAACGTGTAGATAATTTATATGAATAAACTATGGATGGCAGAAGACTTCTTTTTTTTTTTTGTAGAGAATTTGATTACATTTGAAATAATTATATATATAATCATTCTACAATTATGCGATTTTTGAGTTTAAATTATTCACAAATAACTTTGTGTTTGCTTCTCGGAGATTGATTGAATAGCAAAATTTTTAATAGCTTTAAAGCTTTTCATGTATTAATGTATAAGGAAAATCATGGAAATTTAACTATACACATCTACTTAGTAAATTAAACTAATTTTTCTCAATATTTTGTATCAATAAAATCCAGGTCTTGAATGTTTAATGGAACATTTTTTTTATTAAAGTTTTAGATTTAGGGTAAAAATTTAACTTTTATTTATTTAAGTTCTTAAAAAAAAGTACCCTTAAATGAAACATAATCAGTAATTGGGGTTAGATAAGAGTTTTAATTTGTCTCAAATAAATTGCATATGATTTTTATGTGTCGTTTGTTTATATAGCTAAAATACAAATAATTTTTTAAATCACCTTTTTAGCCAAATCAACAGAACTTTTAAATAAAATTATTTGAAAATAAAAATTCTGTAAAACCTTTACTGGAAAAATCGCAAGGAAAAAAATTCTAGTTCCAGAAGAACTGAAAAACTATTGACAATAATAGTTCCAGTGATAGCCAAACGTTTAAAAAATAATTACTTTTTTATTGTGGCCGCTGTGGTTGAGTGAGTTAAGGCACCTGCAAAAATTTTATGCTAGGAGTTTAAACTTAGTTCGCAGGATTAAAAAAAAAAAACGTTATTAATATAAATAATTAATAATAAATAAATAAGTGCAGTTCCTACTCGATTGCTTAGACCACTATGGCGTGGGTTCAATTTCCGTACGGGGACGGTAACATACCCACTTTGAGTTTCACAGTAAGGTGAGAGCAACCCCTGTGGCTAATAACATAGCTCCCCTTTGGTCCTTCAAATTTTTGGGGTTGGGCTAATAACCCTATCCTGTAAAAAACAAGAAGATAGAGACGTATGCAAAAGGTTGCCAACCATCCTGATTAAGAGGGAGTGATTGTGATCGCGTCCGGTTATTATAAACCACGTGCTGCTCCCTGGATATCACCTACATAGGAAGAGGACAACCCCAATGCTGCGGGAAGACTAATGGTGGAAGTCAAAAGAGTCAAGGCATTGAAAGAAAAAAAAAAAAAATACAATACTTTTTTAAAGAAAAGCTCTCTGAATGCATTTCCAAGGCATGGCTCAAACAGTTAAGAACTTTGATTAATTTTCCCTTATTAAAATCAGAAAATTGTACACAATTTGATAAATAAAAGGGTATGTGTCTTTTTCATGCACTTACAGAATTTTTTTTAAAGATAAATAAGGTCGAAATGCACAAAAACATATTTGAAAGTTAACCTATATCAAAAATTGCACTTATAATGGGAGGCTTCTGTCAGTAGGTCACTAATACTACATCGAAAAATTTTTGACTATCCCATATCCCTATCTCAGTATTCCTTCCAATTTATAAAGCCGAGGAAAAAAAAATTGTATATGATTTCAAACGTAATTTATGTTATTTATTATTGCCTTGGCTTTGCTTGGATCTTTATGGTATTATATATGCATTGATTTTCATTTTTTGTGCAGAATAAGTAAAAATATTGAAAATTGTATTACATGAGTTGTAAGATATCATAAATTACAAAAGCCAAAAGGAGCTTCCTCCAGTGAAGTAGGCCAAATAAATTTTTGTTATGAAAAAGCAAGTTAGATTGGTTTTTTTTAATCATCATCATCATGGATGGCTCTAAAACTCTTGCAGAGTCAAGGCCTCCCGCAGTTTCAACCGCCAGTTCTCTCCAAGTAACGCCGCTGCCTTCCAGTTGTGGACACCAAGGATACTTCAGGCGTCGGCTTCCACTCCATTAGCCCATCTGAGTCTCGGTCTGCTTACCCGCCTTGTGGCGAAGATAAGCTCATCTGTCAACTTTCTTAGCACATGTTGTTCAGACACAGGGAGAATGTGTCCTCCCCATCTCAATCTGCCAATTTTCATTAGCCTCACAACATCGGCTTCTTTATATAGCTGCATCAGTTAATCGTTGGATCGCATTCGTCGCTCCTTATTAATATTTATTATTGGGCCGAATATTCTTCTTAGGACACGACGTTCAAACCGAAGAAGAGCTGTTTCATGGGCTCTTGACATTGTCCAGCACTCCGACCCATATGTTAGTACTGGTCTGATCATGGTTTTGTACAGGAGCAGCTTGGTTTTACGAGAGATCACTCTACTTTTGAGATGTCCCTGGAGACCAAAATAAGCTCTATTTGTGGCCATGATGCCTCTGTATTTCAGAATTCATGTCGTTATTTACATTCACTTGAGAGCCAAGGTACATAAATTCCGAGACATCTTTAAAAGTCATCCCTCCGATTTCTACATTTGTCTCTCTGTGGCCTCCACCCTTTGGGTCAGCCCGCATAAACTTTGTTTTCTTCATATTGACCTTTAAGCCAATTCTCACTGCTGCTCCTTGTAGAGCTAAGAAAGCATCTTTTATAGCCGTCCGTGATCTTCCAACCAATGCAATGCCATTTATTATCCAATTAAACTCTTAAATTGTATTTTCATCAAAATTAAAAATTGAAAAATTTATTATTTGATTTTCGTAGTTAATTTTTTCAAGCCCATAACTAAACCATTCATAATTTCTCATTATTTCCTACTATGTCAACGTTGGTAAGCTGAATTACTTTTCTTCCAACCCACATTTATAACTTTTAGATTCCATTCCATTTTTTTTTCTTTCTTTTTTTGTTAGTCATGATATTTACAACTGCATTAAAATATTAATACATCTATTAAATGTGTACACAGCAATATAATGAAATGGAAACAGTCGTTGAGAAACTAGCCATTGGTAACACTCTTAATTCATTCTTTTTTAAATTAGAAATTATGGAAAACTTCCCAATAATTTTTATTTAATATCTTTAGTTTTTTATTTGTTTATGGAGGTCGGTTTTGTACCATTTTATGTAGCATATAGAGCACTAAATCTCTAATAATGTTTGTATGGATCGGTGGAGTCATTCGCCCTAAAGTTATCACAATTTTTGTTTTTGACAAAATTTCAAAGGGTCCATTTCAAAGCTAAAATTTCATAAAGAAAATTTGAATTATTTGATTGTAATAAAAATTTGTATGTAAGTGTTTCTTGAGGTGCGAACAACGAATATACACTTTGTTTCTCCCTAAAAAAACATTTACTCTAGATACCATACCAGTTTTGAATAAATATTTGACAGATAGCTATAATATGGTGACGATTTGGACCAACTGATTTAGCAATATGGGAGTAAATAATTTTTTTGGGATTTAAAAAAATTATGAGGGATTTAGGTTTGTATGCTACAAGAAATGGTATTAAACAGACCTCCATAAACAAATTAGAACTAAATATATAAAATAAAAATTATTGTGAATTTTTTTTAATTTCAAGTTTGTTTATGGAGGTCTGTTTTATACCATTCCGTTTTTCTTAATTTTAATTTAAAAAGGAATGAAATCTAATAGTTATCAATGTGGGTTGGAAGAATAGTAATTCAGCTTTTCCTACTTTACTGGAAGCGCCTTTGGTTTTTTTTGTAATTTATGATATATTATAACTCATTCAATATTCTTTTCTTATTTTGTCCAAAAAAAATAAATAAATAAATCTATTTATATATAGTACCTTGAAAATCCAGGCAAAAATAAACAACATACATTTTGTTTGAAATTATATAAAATATTTTTTTCTTAGCTTCTATGGCCCATTGAAACAAAATACGATATGTACTATGACCAAAAAAAATTATTTTGTTGAAATCGTTAACTTCCTGACTGTAGCCCCTTGTTAATGAATTTTTATAATAAACCAACAATATTATTGGTGATATGAATATTAAATGTTTAACATGTTTTTGTTCAATATATAATTTTATATGTTTTCTTCTTTTGGATCATGTCTTATAATACATGAATCCATAATTCAGATGACAATTCAAAAAACTTAAAAACCACTGAGCTTTGAAGAATATAACTGAAATGTGCATAAATATCATTAACTAATATATGAAAAAAAATATAGAACAACTTACTATAAGAAGTTGTTGTTTTTCTTTTTGCAATGTTTCTTTTTCAATGTCCATCTCCATCTTTGCTTTAGCAAGTTTTGCATCAGCTAACTGCATTTCTAGTTGCATTTGTTTTGCAAGATTCTCAACATGCTAGAAAAGAGATTATTATATATAGAAAGTTGGGTAATGATAACTAAATAAAAACTTATATTATTAAAGTAATCTTTAGTTATACTCATTATATCATAGCAATAGGGTTTTGAAACTATGGTTAATAATATATGAATCACCACAATAACTCCCTTTCATTTTCTCCTAACTCACCAATTGTTCATCAGCTGTATCTATTCGCAATATGATTTTATATCTTTTAAATAAAAAAATATAATTAGCAGAAGCATTGAGAACAGATTATCAATACTCTTGGTAACCCACAATCTCCAGAAATTACCATTAATACAAATTTATGTTCATTCTGTTCTGTATCGAACATTATTAAATAGTATAAGTATTCCAATCATTATACCTGTTCTTTCTTCTCAAACTGATCACAAACTGATTTTAATCTCATGGACATGTCAAGATTGTCATCTCTGAGTTTGGCATTTTTATCACTATTTTGTGCAAGTAAAGAGCCTATCTCTGATAACATAGAGTGAAACTTAGCAGCTACCTCTCGTTTTTTTTCTCCTTCTTCCCTCATTTTGAGCATACATTCTTCCTAAAATACAAATTATGATGAATAATATATAATATGTAAAGTATTTATATGTTACATTTTTATATATTTATTTAAATTTATAAAGTAAAATATGTAACAGTAGAAATTTAAAAAAATACAATGATTCCCTACCTTCGGTAGTGAGGAAGCAAAAAAAGAGAAATTAGAGATGAAAAACATTGGAATAACAAGTAAACGAGTTAAAAATAAAAGTAGGGAAACAAAACAAATATCCAATGAATTTTGTAGGACGGAAATGATTATCAGAGATTTGTTGAAATGAAAAAACCTACAGTCTGTTTATGTTACTTGAAGAATTTTTCACAATTTCTAACCACAATACAGACTATTTCAATTATTTTATAACATATTTGCCTCTGAGTTGTTCTTGACTAAGTAACATGGGGGGGAAAAAAATAAGATAGGAAAAGTGGATTTGAATGATTAAGACTTGAAGAGTGGTGAACTGTGTTACATTTGACATATGTAGACGATTTTACTATTAGTATGTTCATTTCTTTGTGTGTCATGTGATTTATGCATAAATAAACCTAAGTGTATTTACAATTTTTCATAAAAATTGGCCTGTGCAGCTTATGTGGACCCCGACGTTCTGCTCCATTTGTACAAATGGATCTTGGTATAGTGGCGTAGATTAGTTGCTTGTTCTGAAGGTGAGGGACTCTACTACCCTCTACTCCCAATTGTTTGTATTTTCTCATCAGTTCTTGATTTTTAAATTTGCAGTGTATGTTCCAAGTGGGTTTTCTGTCCAGTTATGAACTGAGATACCATAGATAATTTTTTTAAGGAACCGGGTTGTCTATTATGGAACAATAATCCAGTTGAAGACCACGACCACAGATAAAATAACAAAAAGGAAATGATTATCACCATGTCTATTCTATACTTAAAAATCATATGACATATAATTATCGTAAACCATATCAAATACAATTATATTCAAAAGAAATGAAATTTCTGATTTTCGTACCTTTACAGCCTTATTTTGACGTTGCAATTCTCGACACAAATTTTCCAATCTACTTCGGGTGAGAATCGCTTTGCTATGTTCTGCTTGTAACTGCTCTTTCTCCTTTTGCAGTACTGTATTCTTTTTCTCAGCTTGTTTGACAGCATTCTGAAAATGAAAATAAATAGAAATAATACAAATAAAATAATAAAAATTTCATTAACTACTTCTATGCCAAGCAACAATCCAGAGATAAGAGAAGAAAAATCATTTAAAAGTAGAAATTAACTTAAATTAATTTTAATAATTTAATTATTTTCTTTCTTATTTTTATTTATAAAGATGCACCAGTAAATTACTACATAGAAATTTAATGAAGGTTTTATCATTGATTAGGTCAAATTAGAGTTGGTAATAACAAAACTTGTACATTCAGATTCCATTTAAGGGCATATATCTTATTGGTACTGCTGGGAACTGGACCTTGCGGACTCTATTGGCCTACTCTTAGGGTGCCTGCCATATACTAACCAGAGTGGGAGAACCCAATGTTCATTTCTTGGAGCTGCCGTATCGTGTATAGTAGTTTTCATGAGGTGCACGCATAAGTTGCAGGTCTTCTCTGCTCCACACATATTCGAATTGTTAACATTTTAAGGCTGCAATGGTCTATCATAACTCCCATCATCAATGTTGCTTCCTTTTCCAATGCAGCTGCCATTTCTTTTATCGATAGCTAAGCCTGTCTCTAGCCAACATTATCCTCTGATTTCAAGGGTACTCTTTTCCAATAATAAACAACTTGTCACTGATAGTATTTGAAGAGATTCACTGAACTCAAGCCGGTACTTTTTCCAGCTAGCTTATTACTTTTCTTATTTGACAGCATTTTTTGTTAAACTTTTATAGTAGGCAGGAAAATTTGTATCTCAGAAAGATGACTATCCAATGACAGTGACACAGCAAATAGCTTTGGGACATGTCACAGCAATCAAAATAGCTTATAATCCATCTGACAGACATTAGTGCACCAATAGTTTTAAGGTATAAAGACATATGGAGCCAAAAACGGACAAATAAGGATTTATAGTGAAAAATATTCATATTTAATAGTTCTTTTACTTCATGCAAATTTAGAAGCAGAAAAAAACAAGCCTGAAAAATGATAAAAAAAGATTTTATATCAACATTGTGTAGAATTAAAGAACTCATTAGATAAGGTAACATGATAATATATTTTCATGATTTAAGAATTGCAGAGAAATAGTCAATATTGTATTAGAAATAATTTACAAACTATTTTCACTAAAAATATCAATTTCTTTATTTTATTAATTTAGATTTCTGTTGCACCTTTGTGCCTCTTTGTAAAATTTTTAGAGGGACACTAAACAAGATTTCTCTGAATAGACAATGTGATAGCATATAATGATGTAAAGATAAAATTAGCATAAGGATAAGTTCTCTAATTCACAAGCGTAATCCTAATATGATGGATTGGCACAAGACAGTCCTGTTTCAAAAATGCCGAAATCATTCTTAATAATTATGAAGAATGATTATATCAACAAGAGGATAGAGGGATCAGATACTACGTTGGAATTTTAGTTCCAATTATTATAAGAAGTCAAATACATTGTAAACTTATTTATTTTTACCGCAGCAAAAATACAAGAAATTAGTTGTTATACCATAACAATGCTATAATTTGCAAAGTGTATCAGTCAGTGAACGAATGGCAATATAATATAGAAATGAGTCAACTTTATAATTTATAATATTTTCAAGGGATAATTTATTATTATTCAAAATAATAGATCAAATCAGGTCTACAAATTATAAATATGGCTATATCTTTGCTAACAAAAATTCCGATTTCAATGTTTTTTATGTTTGGTTCTATTAATGGAAATTTGAGAATCTTTCTAACAGCCTAGGGCACAATCAACTATAAATTATATAATGATGCAGAGATGGTTGACCGTTGATATAATATGAGAAGGAGTTAGTCGAGGGTGCGGTCAAATAAATAAAAAAATTAAAATATATAAAATATATAAATTATTTTAATTTTTTCCGACGTTTCGACCCACTTTGCAGGTCGTCTTCAGGGCGTAGGATGTGGCACTGCGGGAGGCAGTTGAAACACTGACTAGAATAAATGGTTTTGAAAAATGAGAAGGATAAATTAGCTTGACTGGAAGCGGAACTTATTAGAGAGGAGGAGTTTAAAACTGAAGAGGTCAATGTGTCATCATGTGACGAATTGTTAAATGAAGATGGAGAAGAGTGTGAAGAGAAGTGATTAGATATCGGTGCTGCGTGATGAAAAGTTCTGGAAGGTTTTTGAAATCTGGTACTGCGACGAGTGGGAAGAACAGAGAGGTTCTGATGTGCGGATGACTGTTGTTGTGGATTGTTGGATCTGGCATTAAGTCTGGAACTGTGACATATGGATTGTGGGTTTGTATCTTGATGTTGACCCCGTGGTAATGCATTCATAATGATGTAGAGATGGTTGACCGTTGATATAATATGAGAAGGAGTTAGTCGAGGGTGCGGTCAAATAAATAAAAAAATTAAAATATATAAATTATTTTATATATTGAAACACTCGCCAGTGTTTCAACTGCCTCCCGCAGTGTCACATCCTACGCCCTGAAGACGACCTGCAAGGTGGGTCGAAACGTCGGCAAAAATTAAAATAATTTATATATTTTAATTTTTTTATTTATTTGACCGCACCCTCGACTAACTCCTTCTCATATAAATTATATACTTTTTTACGTTAGTACTTTAGACATATTTGGGAAATTTTTTCTACCTGAAGTAGATAATCTTCAAAATGAAAGCTCAATCATTGGATTCGACGGAAAATAAATAAAAAAATATGGCATTTCGACAAAAAACAAACAAAAAACTTTTGAGAAATAATATATTAAGATTTATGAATTTTTATAATCTGTTATATTTATTCATGATCATTTTATTTAACAATTTAATGTTTGTTGATGGATCATCATGTTGGTTTACATTGTACAGTGTTAACTTGTAATTGATTTTCCAACTTCACAGTTATTGCTATTTTAAGTTATTGTACTTATCAACCCGAAAAGTATAGGAAGTCATAATTATTGTTGTGGGAAAAATAAAATCATGTTGAAAATGTAAGCACACCTACTTTTTTTATTGGATTAACCACCACCTCATCGTTTCTGACATATGGGGAGTTTGTTCTACAGATACAAGTAATTCCATTATTAGCAGAGTGAGAAGATTGAGATTCATTCCATCAGTCCACCACAAAATAAATTTCAATCTGCCCAAGCCAGATTCGAAATGACATTGTAAGACACGAGAATGCTAAAATGGATAAAGCCCTAGCAGGCTTGGTCATCACGACCTCTAACCTATCAAAAGAGAGGCACTCAGCTAGCTCCAATATTCATAGACAGTATGATCAATGACTTAATTCAAATACCTAGGTGTACGAGCCCTAATGAAGGCCTGCAACTTAGGTCTGAAACGTCTGCACAAAACGAAAATCTTTTATTTTTGTTTTTTTCTGCAACACCTAACCAAACAGTATTACTGTGACCTGGTTCCCGATTATGATTATAACACATTTTTGTTATATTGAATCAAGTATAAAATTATCATGGTCATTAAATTTTATTTATTTATTTTATTTTAAATTTAATCATTGATTCCGATTTTGCCCATGTGATCTTATGTACATCCATCATGGTGGAGCGACACTTGTGAAGAAGTCCTAAGGAGGATTTTTATTAGTTTTAATACGAGTAAATAGGGACAATAAAATATTGGATCAGTGTAGTCATAAGAAGATTGCATTAACTAGACGGTAAGGAGACACTAATATTTTAATTTTATGATTTGTAATCCAGTCCTCAAATTCTAGTAACATGGTTATATATAGCCCATTTCCAGCTCTCGGAAGTGATGAATTTCGGCAAAGGTTAAAAAATTGAAAATATAATGGAGAAGTGAATAATTTCAATTTCAATCAATGAAAGTATATTACAACTTCAATAAAAGTTAAAGAAACAGTAGGAGGTTTCATAACTTTGACAGATCAAGAAGAACAAATTGTGTTTTAATCATTTCAGCCCTGACTGGTTGTATTGAATATACCAGGCCGAACACAAAGCCCTAAAATGTACGGTTTTTAAGATAAATCCAAAATTCTTGCCGAAAACCTCTTAGGTGCCAATGTTACCATGGAATAATTATTACAGGTTTAGATTTATAAAATATAAACTATTGTTATTTATTATGATATATAACAAACTAAAATAATATTAAAAAGGTAAAGGGAAGAGAACGGTTCCTAGACCTCTTGGACGTCTAAGATAATATAGAAAGAAACTAATGAATATTATTAATAAAAATAAACATATTTCATAAGCATGTTTTAATTCCTTTGTTCGCAAATATCTCCATACTTATGATGAATTTTTTAATCTATGTTTGGGTTAATATTATATTTTTAGTAAGTGAGAACACTTTAAATCAAGGTTCACGCCCTTTAGCACTAACCCAATAGGTCTTAAAATGTACAATAATGGGTAAATATTAGTTAACAAATAGCGAAGTTTATCAGTTCAAATGAGGAGTTATTTTCTTAAAGAACAAGTTAATTATTTATTAAATAAACTGTTTTTTCAAGCAAGTAATTCTTAAGTATGGAGCTTAATCAATTGTGCGCTTTGCATCAACTTTCTTGACAATATGTTCTTTATTTTCATATCTAATAACGCTTATTTTTTAAATGTAGTTGAAAGAAAGATCAATATATTTAAAAACTGCTCGCATAAGTACACTAGTACTACATTATTTAAGCAGTGACCCATAACAAGTTGTTACAAAGATAACAACAATCATGAAAACAAGTTATTAGAATTCAAAGAGTAATAACATCATTAAAGATATTTAAAACAACAAAAGGGCATTTATCAAAACATTTCTTATTGATTCAATCATATAAATAGAACTTCTTCTTTCTATCTTTCTTTGACCCATTTTGCTGTCATAAAAGAAAAATCAAAACAATTACATACATATTTATATTATCAATTTGTTAGAGATGCATGACTGCTTGTAGTAACTAATAAACATTAAAGAAAATATTTCCTTCAGAAAAATTAAGAATAAATATGTAATTGAACAACCAAAACTAGAGGCTACTTAGGGATTACATATATAATAAATCTGACTTATTCCAAAAGGATTAGAACAGAGAGCAATATTTTATCTATAAAGCAATTTATGGAAATAAAAAAGGTTTAATGATTTCAAAGATTTTTACCTGTAATAATCTATGATCATTGAACATTTCAGCATATTTTTGGCACATAGCTCCAAGTTTTTCTTCTGTGGTTCCTAAACTATCAAGAGCTTTTAATACATGATCAACACTCTTGTCATCTTTCCTCCTTGTCTTTTCTTCTCTGATACGTTTCATAGCTTTTTCAGCAGCCTTAAAATACAAAAAATTGAATATTTAACATCATATCAATCCAGTTCAGAATATAACAAATAAGCAGCAAACAAATTATAAGTACTTTTTCTTTAGTTTGACTTTCCATTAGAGCTGTCTTGTTCATTTTGCTTATCAGCACATAAATGACTCCTTGAAAAAACCCAAAATCAAATAATTGGCAATATATAAGGGCTTAAGAGTATTGAATATAAAGACAATAATAAATATTCAAAGCGTACCTAAGAAACAAATACAAAGCTGTGTTTTGCTTTTACAGACAAGGTGAGGAAAAGACTTTCTAAAGAATAAAAATAATCTGTATTTTCATTAAATCACTCAAAATCCAAATCCTCTAATAGTTTCAAATAAACAACATACTGGTAGAAACAGAACCTTCTCCCACGGCCAAAATCCAAAGCCTTCAGTATTTACACGTGGATCTGTGTGTTTTACTTAAAGCCGCTAACGGCGAATTTAAACTCTTGAGGAATTAAAGAAACATTATTCTAGTTCACTAGAACGGTTTAAATAGATACTCCTTAGGCTGATGTGTCAGGGACGAAAGTGAAATTAAATAAAACAGGAAAACAAAAATTAGACACATTTAGAAACTAACCGAAATTATTATTTAAATAGAACTTAAAATTAAGTATTTAATACAAAACCAATTTAAATAATTCGTTAAATGTTTTTTAAATATATAGCTTTTAGAAAATACTTTGTTCAAGAAAGAAAGATATTCGGATATAGAATAGAAATGCTGCAGACCACAATTAATTATCTCCTATGTTCCTCTTTTGGCTTGATATGACCCCTGTTTTGAAGTTACAAAGGAAAGTCATAATAATCCATAAAAACTAATAGCCTATCCTTAATGGAACATGTGCTGATCTTTTCATCATGTCTTTAGTTTAATCACATCGGTAATTAAAAGAAATTAGGAACTAAAACCAGTAATATATTTAAATTACTTACTTATTAGACAATATAAGTACAAACTAGATGTGACAATCCAAACGCAGCACCTTGTTGAACTAGCACACGAATGAGGTACGGAGAAAAAAAGATGATTATTTTAGATCTAAAGGAGATTAAAAATAGAACATAACAGCGAGACAAGCCATGGGCACTATGTTGTTTGGCTCCTATGTTTTATCAGCTGTCTGAACTTCTGTTCCGGACTTCTCTTAAACGTTGGTATGTCATAATTGCATACGAGGCCACTGTTGAGGAAAGTAATTATTTTTTTGTTATCAAACATCGTATAAATTCCATCCCAAATGCCTCAATGTATTGCAGTTATCATCAAACATTTGCAACTATCTCTATTCTCGAATAAATTACTATTGGTGAAGAAAACACAATGTTACAGAAAATGAGATTTGTTTCATCAGGAAACCAACAAATCTGTTATCAAGAGCGAACTTGTTTTAAGACTTTTTGATACCGCAAACAGGCATGACAGATAAAACCGTTTCTTTCAGCCGCTCATGTCTCCAACAAAATCATCGCATTATAGACAAAAACTAAGCAGAGATAATTATTATATTTATACTTAACAGAGCTGTTTTTGTACTTAAGAATTCGTTTGAATAGAAAAACATAATTTTATCGCGCTTCAAAAATTGCAGCCTCAAGCAAGTGCCTAACCTGCCTGTACATAAATACAACACTGTCTATTACATTAATTTGAAACTATTAGTTAAAAATTTCCCTCAGCATCTGGACAAAGATCTCCTTCTTCCGGATCGCCACTTTCATAATGCAAAGCATAAAATATCTTAAAAATATGTCTAATGTTTGGTTTGAATTCCTTGAAAGCTAGAGATTAAAAAGGTGTAAAGAAATATGTTTCGGGATTGTTAATTTATTTTAATACTACCTTTTCATTAGGTAGTATTATTTTCTTATTGCAGCATCCAATCATAATATTAATAAAGCCTGTTCTAATTCCTTTGTAAACGGATCAGATACGGATTTGAATTAGAATATGAAATAATTTATTGCAAATTAATTTTGATGAAGGAAAGCCAAAGTATCCTCTGCTAGGAATTTAAGATGCAATTGTTAGAACATTTTTTCGGATCACTTAACAACAAGAATCGAGTACTAGTAGCAGAGTTTTTGTAATTCAAGATCTTATTTCATTTCTTCTTCCTTGACATGATAGAGGGATCACTATTCAATTATGAGAGCAATTCCGAATCCTTCACAAAATTCTTATAGATTCCGGCCGATCGATCCTCTAATATTGAGGTAGTGTTCACTTGGATCCTAACATGTTGAATTTAGAATGAAAATCTAAAAAAAAAATTCCTACGGTTGTCATGAATTTTCAGTGCTCACAAGATGAACCATTTCAGTTGCTTCCATTCTAGAAGATCCTTCTTTAATAGGTTTCTTTTGGTTCAGCCAACTACTCTTCTGCAATGTTTTTGAGCTTTTCTGGGTAAAAAAAATTCTTAGTACTACCATGAGAGAGGATGTTAGAAATACTTGTAAATATGCAGTTACATCTCATTCTCAAACTTTCGAGAGAAGTGTTGGGAATAAATAGCGTTTGTTTTTCTGAATCCATTAGATATTTCTAGAATCAACAGGGATTCCCAGAAAGAGGTTTAATGGATCAACCCGCGCCATCAAAATTGCGAAGGGGACATATGTTAACGGAATGTTGACTTTTTGAGGGAGGACATTTCGACGGAGTTATGAATTTTCGGAATAAAAAGTTTCAGGCTGAGAGACAAAGAGAAAACATGAAGTAGATCTCAGCAAGTGTAACTGTATATAATCTGCGAGTTTTCTAATTCTACCTTCGCTTGCTCTATGTTTAAGAAAAGGTGTGCAATAAAATATCTTTTAAGAGGGAAGTAGGCTTTTGTGCCATTGGTCTTGGGGGGATTGTTGGGATCGATCTTGGGGACCCCTGATCGTCAATGTACAATTATATTCGATTCTGTTCCAAAGTAATAGACAAGTGTCTACAAGTAATTCCAGAACTCTCTTTTCCTTCATTATGACCATCCACTTTCGGTCAAACTCTTCTTATCCGCTAAAATCCCTTCTCCAATTACTTGTAATCTTAGATCCATTTTAATCAGGCAACGTCGTGCGCTCTTATATGACTTGGGCTAGAATTGTTTTCTGAGGACTTTTTTTTTTAAGGACTTTCAAGCATTCTGATCATATTTCTATTGATGGCTCTCAGTGGTAAAATGATGAAAATAACAATGAAAAACAGTGTTTTGGAAAGTAAAATATCTTTCGATGGTGATATAAAAAATAACTACAAAAATGTGCATATTGATTTCTATTAAATACATCCAATCCCTTGATCGAGAAATAGCATATCATTTTCATTTTACTATGTGTATTAATTCCATGTTTTTAAATAATTTGAAATGCTTGAAACTGACTATTTTTAACGGTGAAAGTGAGCTTTTAATCTTTACCAAGAATAGCTGTTCGATACTTGCCTTTGTAGAATTTCCCCCATAATGTTAAATATCTCAAGCATCAGTTTTTGACTAACAGCAATTTTGCATTCAATGGCTCACATTTTTTAATCCTATCTTAAGTTTTATAGCGTAGTTTTCTACCAGCCGAAGCAAACGACAATCATGTCTCTCCTATACAAGCTACAATATTATCGTAAAGATTTACTTTTTTTTTTTTTTCATAACTCCTTATTTATTTTACAAACAAGGTTCAAGGTCTTGGAATTCTCCTCTTCAACATGTTTTCATTGTACCTCATTATTATTTCTGGTAAATACCTTGATTAGGTGATGAGACATTTACTGATCTTATAATGAATGCAATTATTAATGCCATTATAAAATTTATTTGTGAGAGAAAAAATAAGATACAAAGATATTTTTTACTCCTAAATGTAAAATTCATAAGAGAACTACAACTTTATTTCTACTTTATTATATTTAGGTTAATCCGAAATTAAAATAAATATTATTCCAAAACTACTAACTGTTTTAATATAATAGTCATTTATATGCCTGAAGGAAATCATTTTTAGCAACAAATTCAAAATAATAAAATATATGCATATTTTATTATGGAATATCACTACGATTGTTATTTTACTGCTTCAAAATTGTGAAAGCATGAAAATTTTAATTATTAGTTCTTACTGAGGTATAAGTTCCAATACAAAACTTAAATTTCAAACTCATTTTCTTTTCTCGCTTTTTTAGTCCATGCATACATCGTTTCTGCAAGTTTAATAATTTGTTACACAAGGTCTTCAATATTATGAATCACTTACCTTCCTCAAAATTCCGGTATAATCGCCTAATTAATTCTTGTACTTGAGAAAATCTCACATTGAATTCCAATTAGAAATATGCAAATTAATATTAAATAGAGTCGCATTATTTCTTTGGTTATGATGCTTCAGTCCTCTTCTAGATATTAATCTTTTCACAATTAAAAAGCAAAGTTCATGCTTTTAAAAACTATTAAAAAAAAACAACAACTTTGGAATGGATGGGAAAGTTATAACGAGGCAAAAGGGGTGTAGTGTACTCCCTTCCATGAAACTTCATTGCTCTCGCTTCTTAAAAATGTTACAAGAGAAAGAATTATAAAAATTGTAAATTAGTTTTTCCAAAAAAAAAATTCATGACCACGTAAAAATGAGCCTCCTCAAAAATTTTGATGGAGCAACCTGCAATTTGTCATCCTCTTCTAGACACCTCTGTCCATGAAACGTACATTGCAGGTCGCTCCTAAACTCATCGATTAAATTACCAACAACTCAATGGTTCAATCGGTTTTTGTGGTCGATGGATTAGCTTGATGTAATCTCGTATTATCTTAATGTTACTTTTAATAATACTCTCAATATTTATATTTAGTTTGTTTTATATATATATTTCTGATTTGAAACTCAACAATTCAGTAGGTAAACACCTCCTTAGATATTGTGGGTTCTACAATGAAAGAAACATTTCATAAAATTTAATAGTGTTTCTGATATATAAAAGTGTTTGTTGCACTTACTGTGTTTATTATCCTTAAACAATGCCGAAAATCACAAAAATATGCTTACATGTTTAGTTCCATAAAAAAAATTGTAAAAAACCGATTTTTATTTCACATGTGTATC